CAATCTGACTCCTCCACTTCTGCGTCTCAGAATATCTAATTGTAGAATTTGCTTACTGGATGTGTGCTTTGGGTAAGAAAAGACTATTTAGAAATCCTTTGCTCAAAACAGCCAGTGGGAGTGGAATTTGAAAGAGGACCGCCTAATTCAGCACTAAACCCAGTGTGAGAGGCGTGTGTGTGTGTGTGTGTGTGTGTGTGTGTGTGTATGTGTGTGTGTGTGACAAAATGTGCCTTCCAAAGGGCTGAGAGGTAGATGGGAATGTTTGCTTTGCTCGTCTAAGAAGAGAAAGGTTCCCGGACCTCCTCTTGCTTCTTCTTTAGAATAATTTGGATGGGATTTGTAAGGCAGAAAATCTTAAAGAAAAAAGGATAACCCTTCTTTGTGGTGGAAAGCGTAGGGAAAAAAGGTCACTGCTTTCTTCAAACAAGGTATGTCTGGCGAGGGCTAATGGTATACATATGGCTGCTTTCTATTCGTTGTTATAAAAACATTAAAAAGTACTTTTCATTGATAAACAAGAATAAATGCCAAAACCAGCCGGTAAATTTCAATTTAAAGAGGATTGTAATAGAAGTAGATGCTAGTTAGCTGTAATCACCATATTGTGTGTGTTATAAATAAACAATGCTAAGGTATTAATGTTAGAACAAGGTTTTTTTCTGTGTCACGAAAGCAACTTAATTATGGTTAAAGTAAGTTAAAAATGTGATATTTGTGTGGAAACTTTAAGTGACTTACTTTTTTTTCTCCCTTTTTTTTGACTCTGCTTGTTTCCCATAAGGAATATAGTAACACTATAGCAGCTCCTTAAAGTATGAAAAGCTGTGTGAGGAATGGGCACAGTGTTGCGAAAAGAAGGCCGACTCTCCATTGAGGCAGGTCTCCTGGAATGTGGCTAGAAGAGCAATCTTTGACTGTTTACAATAGCAGGGTTTTCTTAGGCTGAATGCTTCTCTCATTGATAAGCCTGAGAAGGGGTTGGCATTGTTAGCCTTGCCATGGTAGCTCTGCTTTGCATAAGAAGAAAGGATGTGCAGTCTCTTTTAAGTACGGTTGTGTGGAACCAGTACAAACATGAAACAAACGCCCAAAGCGCAGGTTAAACAGGGGATCCGACTGAACAATTAGACAGGAACCTTTGCTCCAAGCAAGGCACAGCATTTCTAACCAGCCCCAAAGCAAGAGTGGAATTCAAGACTTTTCTTGGAGTTTATTATAAAAACAAAACCAGGCATGCTTGGCCACGGTGGTTGTTTAAGAAAGAAAAAAAAATGTGTTTCTGCTAAGAAAACAATATTTACCATTACGTTGGGTTTCAATAAATTTGGACGTTTTGGTGGTAAAGTTATGAGGTTGTTTTTCCCTGGTCTCTTGAAGGATGGAATGCCCTAAAGCAAAGAAGGATCAAACACTGTTTGTTTGGATTGTTTTTTTCTTTGCTGAATGTGTGTGGGGGGGGATGTCTGTGTGTGTGTGTGTGTGTGTGTGTGTGTGTGTGTGTGTGTGCCCACTAGTAAAAAGCTGCAAGGTTCTTCTTTTACTTATTGAATTAAAATATCTTCTTTTTTCAAAAAACAATCATTAGACCAGGACTTTTTAAGACTACAAAGAATGCATTTCTATTGCAATATGCTAACTTACCAGGCTCAACTTCATTTAAATATACTTTCTACCTTCCTTGCAATGGGAAAGGCTGAAAAGGAAATACCTGAGGAACGCTGAGAACCCCCGCTCCGCATCTCTGCTGAAATTGTGTTTGTGGCTGTCCTTCAGCAGATCTAATTATCTTCCCAGCAAGTTACCAATCGCAGGGAGAATAGGTTCTTTCAGGGAAACTACAGCGGATGGTTTGGATAGTGCCACGAGAACAGTAGCGCTTGTGCCGTTCTCCACTGTAATTCCTGTAAGACACGCGGAACTCAGGAAAGCTGTGTGGTCTGACCCACTGTGCCAAACCAGGAGTCTTGAATAACCCTAGCAGCCCTGCCTGAGCACTGTGCTCCCTCGGGAAAGACATGGTACACTGCTTGACTTTTGTTCCCCCTTTTGAAAAATAGAAATGGCAGTGCAAGCATCTCCTCCTTCCCAGGGCCAGCATGAATATTATTGATTGGCAGCTACAACAGGGTTTTGAAGATGAGTGTTTTCTATAGGATGGTATTTTTCTATACAGTCAGAGAAAAATTCTAGTGGGAAGAGTTATTGATTGAGATTCTCCAGGAACGTCCTCTTGGTGTATACCCACATAGCATCTCCTCCCCAAACTATCTCCGAAAGTGAGCCCAGTGTTAGAGCAGTGGGTGCTGGGTAGAATACAGTGTTCTGTTGATAGAGGTTTCTGTCCCACCAGGTCCGGCAGTCCTTCAGTCCCAAAGAAACACACAAAGGTCTACCTTAATTATGAACTGGTTGGCCTATTCACTCAGGCTTCTTATTAACTCTTATAATTTACATTAACCCATAATTCCTGTCTGTGTTAGCCATGTGGCTTGGTACCTTTTGTCAGAAAGGCATTCTCATCTTGTTTCCTCTGCATCTGGGTGACGACTGCAGACTGAGCCTTTTCTCTTCCCAGAATTCTCCTGTTCTGGTCGACCCACCTATACTTCCTGCCTGGCTACTGGCCAATCAGACCTTACCAATACAGCTGACAAATACACTTTATACAACTGACAAATTTTTACAGGGTACAAGACCATTGTCCCGCAGCACAGGTCTGCCAGTAGAAGGCCATCTAATGACCCTGGAGACCTAACAAATAGAGGTTTCCATTTCCTTATACGAACTATAACACAGAAAAGGGAGATAAGATGGTCTGTTTCATTGTGCAGACTCCGTATACATTAAAATAAGACGTATTAAAACAGACTTACAGAAACTGTATTTGAAATATTTGTAGTTAAATGACTAAGTAAAAATTGTGTGTGTGCTCTATCAACTTGACCCAAGTTAGAGTTAATTGGGAGGAAGAAATTTCAGTTGGGAAAATGCCCCCACCAGATTAGTTTATGAGCAAAACTGTGGGATATTTTCTTGGTTGGTGATTGAAGTGGGAGGAGCAAGCCCACTGTGTGTGTGGGGGGGCACCCCAGGCAATTGGTGCTGGATGATGTAAAGCAGCAGGCTGGTCAAGCTATGAGGAGCAAGGCAATAAGAGGCATGCCTTCATGGCCTCTGCTTCAGCTTCTGCCTGACCTCCTTCAGTGATGGAGTGTGACTTGAATTACCAGCTTTCTCCACACTTTGCTTTTGGTCATGGTGTTTTATCACAGCGATAGGAACCTTACTAAGACAATAACATATGAAACTGAAATTCAACTGATCTTCACAAGATAATTAAAGGAAGTGTGTGTGTGTGTATGTGTGTCTGTGTATATGTGTCTCTGTGTGTGTGTTCATCCACAGTATACTTAGGACAGGATGGTCCAAGTCGTAAACCTGTGTGGTCAATTTTTTCCCATTCCCTGGCATATACACATGACTATGTGCATGTCTTCGTGGGAAGATAGTGTTGGATGTCAGAGTTTAAAGATGCCATGAGAGACCAAGGCTGAGGCCAAATGGTCTCGCAATGCTATGAGGCGCTATGGAGACTGTTCAGTCAATAGGCTCTGACCCTTCAAACTTTGATAAACCGTGGGGTTCCAGTGTTCTCATCCATGAATTAATCCGTACCTCATACAGCTGTGGCAAGGAGCCCTCAATCAGAGCCTGAAGCACCCGATGTCACCCTGTCAGCACCCAAATGTTAGCAAATATTATCATTGAAGTAATGACTTAAACAAGAAACCAGAGCTTCAATGGAGCCCGTCATTTGTGATTGTCTTCAAACTCTTAAACATTAACTCTTTGTGCGGGGTTAGCAAAAGACTTGTGGGTTTCTGTGCTGTTCTTGCAGGTCTTAGAAATCAGCTGCCACTCAGAGTGTCTGAACTTGTTTCTCACTCAGCTAAGGATAAGCCAAAGAGGCAACTTTCGGTGACTGAGAAAGCTCTCTGTCTCTGCTTCAAGATGTGGTTTTGGAGGGTTTTTTTGTTGTTTGTTTGTTTGTTTTGTGGTGGCCTGAAGACAGGGAAATTCTTGAGCCTCCAAACATCAGGAGGACAGGAGAGGGAGAAGCTAGACAAGGACATGCTGCTTTATAGAAGTATGGGAAGCACTTGGGCAATAGCACACAGATTCCATTCTTACAGAAAATGCAGCAAGAGAGGAATCAGACAATCACAATAGACACCAGAAATCACTCAAACACACACACACACACACACACACACACACACACACACTCACACGTCAGCCTGAAATCACCCGGGTGAGCTCCTATTTTGCAGACCACAAGGAGAGAAGCTGAAGGAAAGAAAATCTCCCACGGCAGCATGTCCATGGTCACGTGCTTACCGCGGAGCAAGGGCTATTTTTGTTTTGTTTATTGTGTTTTCCATGGTTACCTCATCCATAACACAAACAGTTGTGGATACTGGCTGTAGAATTTGTTATTAATCAGCGAGAAGCTTTTTCGTAAGCCTTCCCGAGGTCCTTAGGGATGAGTAGAAACATTTGGGCTTCCTGGAAAGTATCCAAAACAGGCACCATATGATGCTTGATGGAACCATCCATAAAAATTATGTCACATGGCAACCTGAAAATGGCAATGTTCCACATAGAACAGATGTGACGAGGTATAAGTCCACTGCTGAGCGTCAGGGGACAAAGGGGGATGGAAGCGAGGGATGTCCAAACTCTGTCCTGAGTCAAGTCTGCAGCCGGAAACATGCAACACAGAAAGGTTCACGTGCTTTGGATTCCGACTGAGGAAGTTTTTATAGTCGTATTTTGTTCTGGTCTTAGAATTTATATAAGAATAAAATTAGCTCCATTTCTAGTTCATATTTTTTTTCATTTGAGGTTTTTTCCAGTTCTTCTAAAGAATTGTCAGGAGTTGTTTCTTGGCCATTTGACTCATCAGGTTACACAACCTTCTAGAAAGCTTTTAAGAGAATCAGTGGAGGATCCTTACAAACCCCAACAGAGGATAAAAAAAATATGGAATTGCTTCCTTTGTAGGCATTCGAGTCAATTGGCGGTATTATAACAAAACACTGTAGACTAACAGCAAACATCAGTTTCCCTCAGTTCTGGAGAATAAAAAGCCATGATCAAAGTGCTCAAAGGCTGGAGTATGATACAGATGTGACTTTGGGTTTTATAAGCGGCCATCTTTTCATTGAATCACCCATGGCAGAGAGGGGAATTTTCTCTATAGTCTGTATAATAAGACACGGATGCCATTCATGATGGCTCCCTTTCATGGCTTACTTCTCAAGGTCTCACTGAGAAATCCCATCACATCGAGTGCTAGTATTTCCAACTGTGAATTTTGGAAGACACATATATCCAGAGCCTTGTGCTGGGACCCTCCAAGTACTTA